GGGACAAAAGTGTCCCCCAAAGCCAACGGCACGGCCCCGCTCCCAGCGGGCTCCAGCGGTGGCCATCAGCCAGCCAGGCTTGGGGACCGACGCAGCGAGGGGACGGTTAACATCTCCTGTCTTCATCGAAGCACTCAAGCCAGGCAGTAGCCTGCAAACGCCACCCGTCATTTGGTACCTGGCCCAGCACAGGGCCCCCTTGGTCCAAGGCGGGCACCTGAATATTAAACCACCCGCGGTACCAGCCTCGCTGGCTTCCACCAACACAGCAGACACAAAGCTGTGGCTTTCTAGCTAGGCTAGCTAGAGACGCCCGTCCACGAGCTCTCCGGCAGTTGAACGTCTTCCTACCACATGGGGAGGTTTGTGCCTCCGGCACAGCGAGGAACGGCTTGCCCGGCACCCCGAAATACGCAGTCCCGCAGCCTCAGCAAGCCGGACACCGAAACAAGGGGAGAGGCAAACCAGGGGCAGCAACGATGCAGCTTTGCTTTCGTTGCAGCTTTACCAGAGTTCCTGCAGCCCAGCTGATCTCCCCAGCACTGCTGTCACCTCCATTTTAAGCCCGGGTGGTTTCTGTAAGCACTGCTAGGACCAGGCAGGTTCCGAAGCCTGGGACAAAGAGCCGTTGTTCCCAGCCAGCCCCACGACACGTTTTGCTTCCCTGACGCAAAGTCATTTATTTTTAAATGTCCTCTGAAGTCACCGAGCCAGCCGCAGGACTTCCACGCACGCCAGGCAAACCCTTCCGCCCTGTTTTGGTCCAGCGACGCCAGCCCAGTGCTTGAACACTGCGCTTTGGCGATGCCCACCACCAGCTCTGTTCCCAGATGCCTTTGCCTATCGCTCGACCTGGGTGGGATAAAACCAACCTTCAGGCCACCCCACTGCTCTGCTTTTAGAAACCTCCGCATCCATGAGGGCTGGGATGGGTATTCCCGCTACTAACCTCCCCTCTGACTAACTTTACGGCACTGCTACACTTCTAATTCCTGCAGCAACTCAGCTGTGAATGTGTTTGTCTTAACTAACAATGCCACTAACTTCTCAGAGCACTTTGTTGTTACTGGTTTCTTCTTCACTCGTACTGTGTGTGAATGCACACCATGCGTGCAAACACGCCCAGGGCTCACCTTCCCGTCACAGGAGAGTTCTTCCCGTCGACATTTCCACTGGCGCTAGCAAGCCTTCACTCTTACAGCCCATCTGTAGAAGCGCTGGATGCCTTTTGTCATCCGACATTTCAACCTCTCCCTGTGTTTGCAAGACCCATTCCTTTGGGGCAGAGATGCAGACAGACTCCTGTATGACAGAGAAGATGCCGAGACCATGGAGGCAACTACGACCTCCAGAGCATCGGGCAGGGCTCCCGGGTTTGCCATTACTCCAGCCCACCCACTCACAAATGCACAAGGGAAGGGACGCGGCCATACACACGGGGAGAAGCCTCAGGGTCGGGAAGGCAGCAGCCGGGACACAAGAAAGCCTCCAGTCTCCCCAGATTTGCCCCTCTGCTCCACTTAGGTGGAAGCAAATAAAAACAGAGACAGCAGAAGTGAAGGTTTCGGTTCTCCCTCTGATCTCCACGCAAGGCTGGGGCTCAGGGCTCGTCCTGCCGTTCCTTTGTCGTTTACTTCCACTCTCGTAGAAAGCGGCATTGCTGTGGTGTGCTGTCTGTGGTCTTCAGCGCCGAGTGTCAAACGATCGTCCAATTGTGTAATAAGTGTACATACAGAAAATAAAAGGTATTATCTACAGAGCGCACACTTAGTGGCTGATTTATGGGGTGTGGGCAAGATACTAAATACGCTCAAGGAGGAGATAGAACAGAAGGCAGCAAGGCTGTGAAGGAAGCCCGGGAACAGGGGTGGTTCAGTTGCAGAGGTTTGAATATTGGCAAAGGAGATGGCTAGACTGGAAGGAAAGGCCATTCTCCCAGAAAAACCAGCCACTCCACCGGAAAACATGCTCCTTCCGTTCAGAGCCAGAGCTGAAGAACCTTGTCTGTTGGTCTTGGTTGAGGAGTCACGTCCATACCTGCTTGTAAGCTGCCTGAGTCACACCAGACACAAACCAGGCAGCTCACACTAATTTATTTTAGCTCCTAGCCCAGCTCGCATATGCTGGAGCACTTCAGCTCATGAATGAAGCGTAGGCAGAAGGCTCAATATAGTAGGTTCTTTCAGGAAAGGCAGACAGATTGTGACACCCCTCTGATTTCCAAAAAGATGAAAGGGATTCCATCGCTGGCTCCTCTCCTAACAGAGCATAAAGATGATATTCTGCCCTTTCAAAAGAACATCATTCACAAGGAACACTGAACAACTCTGCAAGCATAAGGAGCCGTAACTCTTTCACTGCATACTCTGTAAAATCTCTTTCAAGGAAGAAAAAAAAATGCACTTAACTCTCACAAGCTCTGGAAAATGGCCGAGTTAAAAAGCAAGACAAGGTTGAAAATGTTTTGTTGTTTGATGACTAGTGAGTATTTTGCTCTGTGACTAGGAGTAAGGGGAACTTATCTGTGCAAAACAGAGCAAGAAGAGATTAGCAGAGTACACTGGTTTACTCCCAGCCACGGAAAAAGCTAACCTCTGGGTATATGTTTTCCTGAGCCACACAGCCTGCAAAACCAGGGGACCCGATGCGAATGTCGTTGTGTCCACAGGATGGTGCCAGCCACTCACTAACAACATCCCATCGCTGAACACATCAGCCTCTGTAACGAACGCACCTAAACCCATCAGCTACGAGAAATGCTGTCTTTCAAGAAGGCATTGGTCGACACAAACGCTGACCTTAGGAGTCAAAAAATTTTATTAAGTTATCAGTGCTGTGCTGCAGCCCCTTTGGAAAGCTCGGCCATTAA